AAAATATGTTAAGTTCCCTCTTATACTTATAGGAGAGGACCAAAAAGAATATACTAAAGAAATAATTCTATATAAAGATGAATTATATGGAGTAGATCGTTCACCTATTCTACTAGGAATGAACTTTCTTGAGAAATATAGTCCTTACAAAATTTGTCAAGGATATTTAAAAATAACAGTAGATGATAATCCAATTATCATTCCAAGAATAGATGAAAATATGAAATCATTGTTATCATGGAAAGAGTAATAAGTACTAATCCCATGAGCCCATATATTGAAATTACACTCAATATAAAAGATTATTGTAGAATTAAATTCCATGCTTACCTAGATACAGGAAGTACAATAAGTCTATATTTACCAAATGTACTACCATCTGAATACTGGAAATATAATTCAAAAAAAGTTGTAACTGCTATAACAGCAGATGGTAATAAGGTAATATATAGCAAGTATGCTACTCAAGTACCTTTTCTAATCTCTTTTAGAGAAGTATTTGTTGATACAGTATATATGTCAACCACAATAGGATGTGATATTTTATTAGGACAGAATTTCCTACTAAAATATGCACCATTTACACAATATATTGATAAATATATGTTCACAACACCTTGTGCACACAGGATATTTACACCAAAAATAAATAAAGCTGTTACAATTGCACATAGAGAAATAAACCATCAGAGTTCCTCAACCCAGCGTGGTGGATATTGGAGTACAGAAAAATTTAAACCAGTTACAGTCTTAAAAATGATAACAGAAAATAGGATTGAAAAATTGAAAAAGGAAATTTCTGAAACATATTCTGAAAACCCATTAGAAAAATGGAATATTGATAAAGTAAAGGCTAAAATAGAATTAACCAATCCAGATACTATTGTTAGAATTAAACCCATGAAATATAGTGTTGATGATCAAAAAGAATTTAGAAATCAGATAAAAGAATTGCTAGAAGCTAAATTAATTAGACCTAGTAAAAGTCCTCATAGCAGTCCAGCCTTTATGGTTAGAAAACATAGTGAGATAAAAAGAGGAAAAGTCAGAATGGTGATAAATTATAAAAAATTAAATGAAGTAACTAAGTTTGATGGATATTACTTACCAAATAAGGATACCCTTATTAAACAAGTACAAAACAAAAAGATATTTTCAAAATTTGATTGTAAGTCAGGGTTTTGGCAAATCATGCTTACAGAGGAAAGTAAACCACTAACTGCATTTAGTACCCCCAATCCTTTAGGACAATACGAATGGAATGTAATGCCATTTGGGTTGAAAAATGCACCACAGATATTCCAAAGGAGAATGGATGAGGTAATTAAACCAATTACTCATTTTTGTATTGCATATGTAGATGATTTACTTATTCATTCAAATAATATTGATGAACATATTGAGCATCTTGAGAAATTCTGTTATATCATGAAAAAACATGGTATTACACTCTCTCAAAAGAAATCTGAGATAGCTAAAACAGAAATTGAATTCTTAGGATTATTTATAAAAGAAGGAGAATTGCAGTTGCAATCTCATATTGGTGAAAAACTTCAAGAATTTCCTGAAGAAATCAAAGATAAAAAACAATTACAAAGTTTCCTTGGTATATTGAATTATGCAGAAGGATTCATTGAAAATTGTGCTAAATTGAAAAATTATTTTCTTCCAAAATTAAGAAAAAATATAATGTGGTCTTGGGAAGAAAAAGATTGTGAAAATATAAGGAAAGTCAAAGAAGAGTTAAAGGTGCTACCCAAACTTGTAATACCACAAGAAGAAGATTTTTTTATCTTGGAAACTGATGCTTCAGATAATTACTGGGGAGCAGTGTTAAAGGTCAAAAAGAATCATAAAGAATATAAATGTGAAAAAGATTGTTCTTGTCCTGAAATACTTGCAGGTTATACATCGGGAACATTCAAAGAAGTTGAAACTAGATATGAGACAAACAGAAAGGAACTCATTGCTGTTAAAAGGGGAGTTCAAAAATATGAAGATTATTTATTACCAAAGAAGTTCTTAATTAGAACTGATAATACTCAAGTTAAAGCATTTTTGAAAAATAATGTTAATCCATCTATTAATAATAGATATATTATTAGGATACAAATTTGGTTTTCATATTTCAAATTTGACATTGACTACATAAAAGGTAAAACTAACTTTCTTCCTGATTATCTTAGCAGGGATGGAGCTAGAACAACTAAGGACGAAAGTCCAGATACTTGAAATAAAAGTTTCCTATTTGGAAGCTCAAATTCAAAATATCCAAGATAATCTTCGAGGCAAAAATATAGCCCTTGAGGCAGAAGATACTTGTACCAAATCTAGTATCCCTTTGCAGGGACTTGTGAATACTAGTGCTCTTCCCGAGGATAAAGGGAAAGAAAAGAAAGTAATAGGAACCCCTTTACAGGGAATACTCAAATCTATTACTGGTAATAAAGATATTCCAGATATCAAAAAAGAAGGTAGCTCTTCACAGAGCCAAACTCAATCTAAACTTTCTATTGAAAGGATAGATCCTAAAGATATTGTCAAAATATGCCATGAAGCAAAAATGCCGAGAAAAGATAGTTATGAAGAAGTAACATTGTTTATTGTTATTTTTAACATTCTATCAGATTGGTATTTGGAGATTGGAAAATGGATGAAGACTCTCCACTATTCAAAATATAACAAGATAAATTTCTATCCAGGAGCACCAGCCAACTGGGTTCGAAATTGCTTTGAAATTGGGAATATACTTTGTATATATCCAAGCAAAGATCTTAAAGAAATAGCTCAACTTCCAGCCAACATCAGGAAAGCTGTCAAAAGATATACTGAAGTTGTTAAAACAACAAATATATATATCAGATTCCATTCAACAACAATGGAGTGGGATCCTGTCCTTGAATATATGCATCCATCGTTCCATGTGATCAAAATGGGATTAACAAATCAACATTTTTTACCAGCCAATCAAAAGGTTGTTAAAAATGGATATCAAGATATTCTTAATATGATGCCCTATAGAAGAGCCAAAGGGTATAAAGAGATATTTGAACATGTAACTCAAGTGATTACTGAGAAAGAAAAAATATGGGTTTATCCTTCTGAAGATCATATTATATATTCCAGCGCAAGGATGACCACTAAAGAAGAAGATCTTTGTTATCTTGATCATTTATTATCTGCAATTATATTCAATCAAGTACATGGATCAGAAGATATGGCTAAGGAATTATGCAAGTTACTTTGGAATTACAGTGATCACCACTGTGAATATTGTGTTGTTGAAGATATGAGCCAAGCTTCTCTTAACGATGAAGAATTCCCTGCAGAATTCTTTAATTCCAAAATGGAGAAATGATGGTGATTGAAGTAGCCCTTTATCACTACTTTAATAAAGAAATTTATTAAAGAAAAACTGTGGCTACTAGAGACAAGAAATAATATAAGAAAGTCTCCATTATTGTTACCACTTACCCACTAATTGACACAAGTGGCAGACAAATTCAAAAGATAAGGCACATAATTTTCAAAGGAGAGGTCCATATAGCAAGAAGACAATGAAGAATTCGGTGGAGATAAGATGCCTTGCTACTTAACAAAGAAAGTGGAAGACACCTGTCCAAGATAAGATTCCAAACTCTCCTATAAAAGGAGTCATGAAGGAAGAAGGATATATCTCGAAAAATCTATCTCTATTCTCTGAGAACACATTAGAGAAAAATTTTCTTGTAATCTGTATACACCACTTGTATTCAGAAAAATATTAGATAACTTGAAGATAGGAAAGCGTGTAATAAGGTAATCACTTATGGAGTTTTAAACTTCATAAGGTGAGTACCAAAGGTATGTAAATATAGTTTGTAAGCATGTACAATTTCAGTTTATGAATATCAAAGTAAAGTTTATTATGTTCAACAAAGTTTTCATAAAAGGATTTCGTTAAACTTCTCATGATTCCTCGGCAGTACAGATAGAGATTTTAAAAGATTTTCAAAACATTGATTTTGAATGGATGTTAGCCATGCCAAAGTACCCGTCTTTGATGAACGGTTTAGGGGAAAATGGCAGTTTTCTAACAAAAGATTGTAGCACCTTGAGTGTGAGTTATCTTTTAAAATTTCGTTCCAAGTAGGAACTTGATTCTGAAAAGAGTTTGGATAGAGGTGAAAACAGAGACTCTGGATACTGTGAGATAGCGTCTGTGGAAACACGGCTAGTTCTCTAGAATGAGAAATGCAACCTTAATTGAAAAGCCTTTTGCGGAAGCAGTTGTGGACCCAAATAATTTCAAAAACATTTTTAATCTTTACTTGATTCAGAAGATTGATTAAGTACATGCAAAGCATCTATAAGAGCATACTGGAGGGAAAACCTGTTTATTCCACTTGATTACTGTAAGTTATTTACTTATCTTTATATGCTTATGATTTAATTATTTTCATGAACAATTCACAAGCATCCACTTCCACTAATAATGATGATAATAATCTCATTTTATTTTTAGATGAAGAAGATGTTTCTTTTCTGCTTAAATTAGATGTAAAATCTGATGTTATATTCCCTATTGGTAAAGAAAAAATTGAAGAAATATATAGAGATATAGATTATAGTTGTAAGAATAATATAGGTTTTGATCCTGTAAGAACTCATAGAGAAATAAGGAAAGTAGAAGATATTATAATTAAACATACGGATATACAAGAAGAAATCTCAGTAGGATTATTTAATGGATATATAACTAAGAAAGGTCAACCTATAATCTTTGAAGAATTATTAAAACATAAAGAATATTTAAAGGTGTTCAAAAGATTGAAAAATATAGATATAGGACCTGATTGACAATTCCTTAAAAGATATAAGATAGATTTTATAAATAATTTTATTAAGGGCAATATAGTACTTTTAGCAAGAAAGGCTATTGTAAAAAATAGGAAGAATATTGCAGCCATTTTCAAAGTTATCCCGTAAATGTGTATGATCAAATTTGACTACGAGTACGAAGGAAGGAACTCAAAGTGAGCGGCACCCTTTGGTAATTTTCCCTTATATTTCTGCGGCAGTAAAATTAAATCAAGAGCTGTGCTAGATACACAAGGTAATGTGGAGAGTGAGTTTGAGTTGACGATTTCGATACCCGCCTCAAATTGACATAACCAAATGAGCAACGCAAGGAAGAAAAGTACACACGAAGACGATGAGGTTCAACAGTTGCTGCGAGCAGCGCAGGACGATCTTCTCCTCAAACTCAGCGTCGATTCCCACATGGCGCGCGCCTCCTCCTCATCTCGAACCTCCATGGATCCAGATCTCGAACGCCGCTTCCAAGCCCTCAAATCCAAACCCCAAAACACGTCAACTTCTGCTGTTTCAACTACAAGAACAATTGATGATGATAGGGACCAAGTGAAAGTCAATACTACCAATATTATTGGCGGGTTTGAGGCGGATGATCTGTTTGCTAGATTTGCGGTGCTCAAGGGTTCTATTCCGTCGCATAATCGTAAAAATGATATTGATTCTTCTGAAATTGTTAGTAGGGAGAAAGAAGAAGAGAGTGATGATGAGGTGGATGAAGTTGAAAAGGTAATAAAATGGGCAATTGATGCTGCTAGGTTGGACCCTTCTCCTCTCTCTGATGATGAAAGCAGTGAAGAAGAAGAAGAATATCATAATGATGATAGAATGGATGGTGGAAAAAAGGGCAAAACGAAATGATCAGTGCTTCAACAAGGTATCTCAAATTATGCCATTATGTTATTTTTCAATGTTAGATTACAGAATTAACTTTATAATTTAATTGTTGTAACGGATTGTTTCGCTCGATTTCTAATAGATGAAATTATTTTGTTGATATATATTAGTGTACAAATAAATTTTAAATCTGCACAGCTACGGGAGATTTGTATATATATATATATATATATATATAATGAATACAATTTGCATATAGTGTTACAAGAATATTTATAGAGATTAGAGGGAGTGGAGCTTAGTAAGGGAACGAGTCTTCTGGAATTGTGGAGTAACTAGCCTTCTGCATTTAAATTCTGGAGGCATCTTGTTCTGTTGCACTGTAACTGGGCTTGGCAGGTCGACGATAACTTATCTTGAGGTGATCTTATGTCCTTATTGCTTTTGGCTACTGCTGCATACCTCGCTTTAAATTGACCTCATTCGAGCTTACGTGAGCCTTGGCTCTGGAGTTAGGCTTCCATTTCAATGTTTGGCTTGTGAGTTGTGCATTTTGCCTTAATTTGCTTATGCATTCTTAGTCCACCTTAGGCTACAACTATGAGCTCAGCTGAGCAATCACCTCCACCATATCTTTCTGAGCTGATTTTAGCTTTCATTACGAACTTCTAGATGGCCATTTTTTCTCTGAAAGTTGTTTCTGACATCAGGTTGGTGGGTTCTAAAGTGTATGATCTGGCATACTAGACAAAATGCCATGTCTCATTCTCATAGATTTAGGATGACGTGCTATTTTTTATACAACATTGAACTAAGGTCAAATTCATAGTTTAATGTCTAACTTCCTCACACAACCACTATTATTCCACCTCTGAACTAGTTCTTTACTTCACTTTATCTGCCCATTCATGAATTGAAGGAGTCAACTTTTTTATTTCTCTTTAATCGTCTTTCCGAAAGTGTATCAGATTAGAAATCCTTCATATTTTTCCTCAATTTGTGTCCTATATCAGTAGTTGCATTTTTTAAGATAATGCTATCAAGTCTTCTAGTTGACGGTGGCACAAGTGATTGATGATTAGGTTAAAATTTCGTTTTTTGGGTCCAACCTTTCGGAAACTTTTAATTCAGACCTACCTTCTAAAAAATTTTAAATTTTTTTTTTTTTTTTTTTTTTTTTACAAAAGACACGCAGGTAGCTTGTGTGAACCAGCATGTCTTTTACCATGATATAAGCAACCCATTTCTCATTTAAAAATGCAGCCAAAATTCTTTAAGGCATACGATAAACTTAAATTGGACTAGTATTGGGCCTTCATTCTCCTCTAGGATAAGCATCACGCTGATTTTCATAAAACTATACTGTACTGCTATATGCTAATGATAATTACCCTCACCTTGTCGTTCATCCGCTGAAGCTAATATTAGAAACTGTGTAGTGTTTACTTCAAGCAGGGTTTTTGGGATTGCAAAACCTTAGTTACAGAATTCTCTCCACTTCCATTTCTCAAGTCTAAGGTACTGAGGCTTGATATTTTACGTTACGAAACTTGACTCCTGAAAAATTCAAATACAGATGAGGGCATAACAGGGGGAGTTAACAATATTAGCATTTATCCATCTGAATCACAAAAGAGAAACATAATTCAAGTCTCCAACACAAATAAATCCCTCTTCTTCTATTTCAATCTCTCCAAGAGGTATATGCAGCAATACAATAAAGTGGAACTCCATGGTCTTGGGATGGCTTTTTCCACAGTGTTTGTATTGCTGAAATTCTGAAAGAACAATGGAATTGGCATTGAAAAGAAAATCAGGACATTGACTGTAGACACAAGGGATGAACCAGGCATGCAATTAGTCCCCAAGAGAAGTTTGAGATATTACTGGAGAAGTGAGAGAACTCGATGAATTGATGGCTGCTGAAGCAAAGGAATGAGAATATGGAGGTGACGAACACAATGGACCTACATACTTCCATAGTCTGGTCCAAGTCCAGTCATCGGGTAAATTACAACTAGTTAAGTGTATAACTTACTGGACTTCCTTTTTTTTTCATTTTTCATTTTTTTCTTTTTAAGATGTGGTGGGGGTTTATATTATGTCTGTGTAGTAGGATTGAAACTCCAGGTGATGATATTTCTTAGATCAGTTCAATGAGGAGCAATCCTTCTGAACCAGAAAGCAGGAAAAAAGGAAGTCTTACATGCTGAAGGTATATGTTCCACAAGTGGATAATGTGTACTGACCTTTTCCGAAATTAGGATGTTTCCTGTGGGAATGGCTTTGGGTTTGCAGAAGAAAAATATAGCTATGAAAAATAAGAACAGCTCTTAAATTAACTTTTGTCACTCCCTTCTCTTTCTAAATGTGCCAGTTAAGTTATTTTTCACCAAAAAAATCTTGATAAGATGTTGCCTTAACAAAAACACATCATTTGCAGAATCGCTGCAGGATTTTAGTCAGTATCAATAACTTCCTGCAGATCGTAATTGAAGTTCAAGTTGAGCACACTTTATGATATGGCTGAATTCAACAGGCTATTTTTGTTCCCCTTTTTCTTTTTGGTTGCTACTGATTCCACAAATAGTGCACAGCAGAGATTGTTTCTTCTCTTCTTTTGCTCTCGTGCAAATTAGTATCTGTTTGTTGTCTTTGCACAAGTTCCAAATTTCCTGAATGCCCATCAAGATAGAGTTTTTCGCTTGCAATTTTATTTACTTGATAATCAAGTTGCACGCATTTGGAGGAGGAATCACTATGAAGCTCTACTGCATTCTTTCAATATTGTATTCGTTACTCATAGAAAAAAGTTTGTTCTGAATTTTGACACTTAATTTTTAAGCAGGATGCATGCTTAAGTGTATTTGGGTCATAGTCTCCTCGACCAATGATAGGCACGAAAGCTGGCTTCAAAGGATCTTTCTTGACATAATGAGGATAAATTATTGCTTGAAATTTAGTAAAAGTGGTTTTCTCAACCAAAAACTTGTACCTGCTTGGCCCCTGCACTCTAGAAGGTCGTTGCTGTTACAGTTATTAGAGCTGATATTGAGGTGTCATATTTGAATGTTGCAAGAACCGGGTTCATCTGCTTGGAAGAGAAAAAGAAGGGTGGGGGGGGGGGTTCAATTTGAAATTGAGGTTCTCTTAGTAGACTAAATTATAATTTGTCGACATGGCAACCATTGTAAGTTTCCTTTTGTGTGCGCGCATGTGTGCGTTTGCGCTCTTTTATTGAACTTAGAACTAGATATTATTTATAGGCATGATTTTATTTAAATTTAATGTGTAACGCATCATTTGTAAGTTGATCAATTTGTGCACAAATTCTTGTGGGGAATTAGAACTTTGTACGAAGAGGAACACTGGGGAGAAGATGGAAGGCTTGAAGTAACTTGGTTTTATGAATCAAGAATCGTGAAAGAATTTACAACTTACTTTAACATAAATTCAGTTAAAGATTTTTACATGAAACGAGAATTTTCATGATCTTTTTGTGGTTGAATCACATTGCTTTCCAAACTTCAAAATCTATATTATCTTGCAATCTAATGGTTCCAATCTGAAGTACAGTGAAAAGAGATTATTATTCACAATTTAAGTGTTTAGTTTTGTGAATTTTCATTTCAAACATGTGGTTCTGGACACTTTTCAATTTAAATGTGATTTTTCGTACGAATTTCATTCATTTTCTATTCTCTCTGAGAGTTGATGGAGTTGGGGGAAGTTTTGGGTTTAAATTTACCATTCCATCAAACTGACTTAATGTCTTATGTCACCCCACATGGGTGACTCACAACTAGTATTTTCCAACAATTTGATAATTTTTTTGACAAATGATAAGGTATATATTCTTGAAATATGTGGATTAAAATTGCTAGTTTTATAGATAAAAAGAGATGTTTAACTAGCATATAAACTTGAAAAAGCTTCAGCAGACGTGCTCTTCATCAATGACTAGGAAGTTTTAGCAGACATGTTGTGATGGTTTTTTTGGTGTTGGTGGTGAGATGGTGGTTTGACTGTGGAGGTGGTGACGACGGCGGCGGTAGTTGTGGTGATGGTGATGGTGATGGTCACAAATGGAGGTGGTGGTGTTGGCGGATGTAGTGGTGAGGTGGCATGATGTTCAATTGGTGTGGAATGTGTTGAAGAGTTTGCGATCGACTATTTGATTGATTTGTGGCCTTGGTTGATTCATGACCAAGTATTGGGGACGGTGGTGAGATTCAAGGGACAGGGAGGGATGTTTGGTTAATTTCTTACCAACTATTGGTGTCAATAGCGAGGAAGGGTGAAGAGTGTTTCTCATCAACTATTCCGTTAAATTGTGATCAATTATTTAATATATTACCTAAACATTCGCTAATTTATGACCAATGATAATTTGTGACGCAGAAATAACTTGTAACCAACTAATTTGATCATTTTTGATATTTTAAAATTTGTGATTTATGATCAATAAATAAACCATGACATAAATTTTTTGAATTGTGATTAAAAAAAAATAATTTGTGATCAATTAATTTGATAATATGTGACTAATAAATAAGTTGTAACATATAAGTATGTAATTGTGACTACAAATTGTATAATTGTGACATTAATATATTTAATTAATAAATTAGTCTTAATTAGTTATTTATCAACTGATTTTTGAAATTTTAAACTCATTCTTTTAAAATTGAATTGGTCTATACTTAAAAAAGACTGAGATATGAATTTTTTTTCCATAAATTAAAAAATATTGATCACGCGAACTTGTGCGGACCACTTAGCCTTTTAAATTAATCCCGTAATATAAGATTAAACACATTAGGCTTATAGAAGATGGTCTCAATTATGATGGATCGAATTAATTAACCCTCATGAGTATACGATTTGAATTATTAGGCTTTTAAAAGACCGTCTCAATAATGACGAATCAAACATGATTCACACTGATCAGACACAATTTGTATTATTGAGCGTTATCTAAAATTTATTTGTATAAAAATTGTCAATTAAATATATTTGATTGATTTAATTTTCAATTTATAAAATATTATACTTATCTAGTTTTTATTGCTGGGTAGAATAAGAGAGAGTAAATCTCATGGAAAATAAAATCTTCCTTCATCTGAAGAAAATTTTTTTTTCTTTGATTTTGAGAAAAATACAATCACGTGACTGAAAGTATGAAAACTTTTTCATGGAAAAAATGTGAGTGAAACAGTACAACAATAAGAATTTGAATGGAAAATATGGGCCAATGCTAATTACAATTTAGAATAGGTCGAGACAATTTATACCATGATAGGGGCAATTGTCTCCTCACAATTTATACCAGATTAGAAGCCTGAAGCGGAATGGATAAAAATCAATGAACTTACACTAATTTATTTGAGCATGTTTGGTAGTAATTTTGAGAATTGATTTTTTGATCGTTAGGAGAAAAGTGGGGGCCACATGTGAGTGAAGAAGTTAAAAATTACGGCTGACATAATGAAATATCGATCAAAAAATCAATTTTTTGGAATGAAAAATTACTCCCAAACGGGGTCTTAAATTATTACATGAGACATGGGCACTAATCTATTTTTACATGTCTCATGTCTTTTTTAGAGACTAAGCCCATGTTTGTTTTTTCATTCTTTCTTTATTAAAATGAAAAATATGAATTTTATTCATCATATCAAGTCACCAGATTTAAATTTCTATCTCTTGTGTGAGGTCCATAACGACTATATTTTTTATTTTCATTTTTATGAAAATGGAAAACAAACGGGGGCCTAAATTGAAGTTCGATATTTTAATTATTAAAACAAATTAAATTTGAGTAACCCATTACTGATTTTACCAAAAGTCGGATGAAATTTACCCAAAAATAAAAAAGAATTTATTTTTTGTTTCCTTTGGTTAAAAAGGGGAAATATTTAGTAGTCAAACAGATACTCATACGGTCATACTCAAACCTTGTGCTTTTCCTCCTTTTCTTTGGCCTTCCCGTACATGTTATTTCCTCAATTAGATACATACTTACATTCTTGCACGATCATATTATTATTTGATCCAATGTTTCAGTTGTTGTAATTGGTTGCTTGATTGATCGAGGGGGTTTTGTGAGAGATGTCGAATCTATACAGAGGGGATTTCAATTCCAAAATCGATTACGTGTTCAAAATCGTATTGATAGGCGATTCGGCAGTGGGGAAATCGCAGCTGTTGGCGCGATATGCAAGAAATGAGTTCAGTTTGGACTCAAAAGCCACTATTGGAGTTGAATTTCAGACGCGAACTCTTGAAATTGATCGCAAAACGGTCAAGGCTCAGATTTGGGATACAGCTGGTCAAGAAAGGTAATTACTATGATAGTTGAATCTCATTTCCCGTTTCCATAGTTAACAAGAGACGTCAAATGCTTGTTGAATGGAGCTGAAATTGGTTGAAAAAAAAGAAAGAAAGAAGAAGATAACACTGCAGACTTTAGACCTCGTGATCGCAGGTATTGGATTGGATGATCATCTGGTTACATTATATAACGTAATTGTCTGCAGTTGGAATATAAGCAGGGAGAATAGAGCCTATGTTTTAGATAAATTGGAAGCATTTTCATCAATTTGTTACGCACCACTTTGGTTTAGTTCGTGTCCTTGTGATCCTTAACAAAATTCTCTTTTTCACTATTTTAAATATTCTTTTATTGACCTCAAAATTGAGATTAACAAATTTCTCTCTCCTAATTTGGTTTTCCCTCCCTAAACTCACTGAATTCTATTGAAATAAGAGCTAGGAGAGGAATGAATATTTGAAAGGAGAGCGTTCTCAATTTTCATATCCTCCGTTTCTCCCAACTATGCTTATTTATAAATTTTTAATGAGGTCATGGTGGTAATCAAGTCTTTTTCTTTAATGACGCGTGACTTTAATGACCTGTTATAGTTGATGATTAGTAAGCTTTAACTGAGCATGTTACCTTTTCGCGTTTCATTCATCATGTCAATGTTCTTCACTCATTGGTTGTGAAGTCATGTTTAATAGTTTAACATTCTTATTCAAGTATACTTCAATAACCTTTTTTGCAGATGTGGAATAGCATATGGAAATAAAGAAAGATTATATTTGCTTTTTTAGTAATGTTGAATTTGCATGCCTCGTGTGCTTGTTGTTTGTTTTCAATACCAAACTTATGGCTTCGTATTATAAATGTTTACTCACAGTGGTTTAGATTCACACATGATTTGATAATTTTTTAGCTTAGAAGTGTTTGCTAATAGTAGCATAGGTTTGCATAGAGCGAGTTCAATATGATTATCACAAATAACGTCAAAATTTCCACCACTGATCTTTGTAAAATTAATTGATAACACTTGCCAATGTGTATATACATAATTTGAGTACCTATAAATACATAAAAGCGTGAAAATAGTTAAGAACAATTTTACTTTTGTAGTAAGTATTGATTTTTTAAATTGAAAGTCCAAAACAACACGTTATAAGAGAATGCTAAGATAGATCGATGGGTATACTAGAATAAAAAGAATAAAGAAGAAAAAGAAATGAGATAATGTTTCCACAAGTGGAGTGGGCATGAATGGCCGGTGAATTAAGGTACTGGTGAATCAGGTAGCATGCTTTACAAAGACACTTCAGAAGCTCTCGTCAAATGGAATAGTTAAATTAGATTCATGCAGTTGAACCCAACTTTATCTGGAATAAAGCTTAGCTTATTGCTGTTATAGCTGGGGATTCACTACTTCTAGTTATATTATTGTTTTTCTTGTTTCTCAGAAGAATGAGACTGAAGAAATTCCATTCTCATATTAGGTGTATCAATATGCACTGAGCAGACGTTATTCTTACCTCTCTCCTGCTCGATTAGTAAACTCTGTTAGGACAGAAAATGGAAAACTCTAACTTCTTGAATTCAGCAGCAATCGCAGTCAAGAATATTAGCATTGAGCAGATGTTATTCATAACTCTCTATTTCTCTATTAGCTAGCTCTGTTAGGACAGATGGGAAAACTCCAACTTCTAGAATTCATCAGCAATCGCAGTCATGAATATTAGCAGTGAATTGGTGGGGAGCTTGTGAAGTATATTCAGTTGGGAATGAAAAACAAAGTTTTACATTGGTTCGGGAACTGTTCTATCTCTCCTGTATCTGGATTGCGTTTTTGCACGTTTTTGCTTGTGTGTGTGTTTGTTATGTTTTGTTGAACTAACTACTCCGTTTATAATAGAAGAAGACAGTAAAGGGAAAAGCGGGTTTTTCTTACAATACAAGCACTCAATAGCTAACTACTAACTGAAATAGAAAGCTCACAACTGACATAAGCCCATCAGTCAACCCCCTTCAGCAAATTTTGATGATCAACTGGCTGCAGCTGGAGTGCAGCCTCAGGTCTTTTGAGAATATTCTGGAGCAATCTTCTCCACAAGCTTATTTCTTTATTTTTTGCTCATAGAGTTCTTCTTTTCTACCTTCGTTCACTATTTTCTCTTTCCTGCATTGGTATGTTAGCTTCATCATTTTTGAAGGGATTAGTGCAATAATCCATGGTTATAAGAGGCTGAATTAATTAATTTTCATGGTGTTTGCCTAGTTCTTGATTTATTTCCTAAGATGGGTTGTGAATATTTTGTAGTTTATGGTTGAAAAATATGTATAGGTAACATAAGGGGTATGTAATGCATTGTTATATGTAAAATACACCTTAGACTGTACAATACATTCTGTTGCTAATCATTCTGAAACTAAAAGCAACCACTTGTTGGAAATTTGTGACAAAAAGCTGAAAATTGCTGCTTTTATTGAGTATTCTATCACATACATTGGTTTTGCAATCTTTAAACGTACCTAAAAAAACTCTTTTACATTAGCTCTGTAACTGTTTGGTTTGTCTACAGTGTGGTCATTATATTACTGCTCATCATGTGGATATAATTCTCTTTTCAGAAAGGGAAAAGAAACGAAAAATTAAAACATGTGCATATATGGTCCACGAACTGCTCCTCAAACTAATCAGGGAATATGGTCTGAGAATTTTCTTGTTCATGATTCGTGTTTTCATTTCGGTTTTTGGTCTTTATGTTTCTCCGGATGGAAAAACAGACATCGTATATTCAATTTACCAGTGCTGTTCATAAAAAGCTTTCTGTCATACGAACAAAATACATCTCCTTTTAATACAAGCTATTGACTGTATTGTTTGCTGATCATACCAAATGAGGGAGTTCACTTGCAACTGAGCTTTGACTAACACAATTTTGTGTTGAAAAAGATGTACCAGTAGAATCTGATTCATATAAAATTGTTTATTTGGCAAATTATTTTATCACGTAAGAGGGTGTAGCTTCCCAGTTGTTGGCTGCCATCTTCTCAATTCAATGCTTTGTACCTATCATCCTGTTGCCTGTCTCTAAAAATTTATGATCATTTAGAATCAATTTAGACTCTACTTAAGCTACTCTGCATTGGTGAGATTATATCGGAGCCTGGATTTACTCCCTTCTATGGAAGCAAATCATATTAATTCACTAATGCCTATTTTAACCAAGATGCACTGCATGGTGTGCACCTAAACCCATAGCAAGACACAATTTAAAATTAAAAGACTACCAGCAAAACATTTTTTAAGAAATTATAGTTGTATTCTAAAAGTGAAATGTTGAATAAGTATTGGAAATAGGTGTTGTAATTGGACTGATGTTGAGACTCTGCGGCACTGATATGACCAGTTAAGCCCCTGTTTGGTGGGCATTTTTTTGGAAAAACATTGTTTTGAATAGTGACTTTTTGGAGAATGTGTGGTAAAAAAGTATGAAAAAGTTTTGGATTTACGTGTGGAATATTTTATTGTGTGGATGTGTGTTTAAAAATAAGTATATAGAAAAAAGAGTTTTGAAAGAATGGGAAACAAGCAAGGGCTAAGTAGAATTAGATCCTTAGTTTTATCATTTAAATGTTATCATTAAACTTTTCATGCTAGTCTTTCTTTTATCTTGATAAGGGAGTGCCATTCCAGTGCCATTCCAACTCCTGTCCCATTAGTGGCATCACATATTGGTCAATTGTTTGTCAAGACCCTACTTCCAATTTGTATAAGATCTATATTGACTAGGCAAAGGAGCATCGGTGCAACGAAGTGGTGGATGCGGTGGCTTTGGCCTTATATTTTCCATTGTAAAGTTATCTTCCAGCTTAAATGCTTATTAACGTCTCGTGTTTTGCTTAACTTAGCTGTTATGGATATAATTGAAAGCACAATGAGGTGCGTACTTGGAGGCTATTTTTGGCGTGTCAAAGTGCAGCTGTCATTGAAGTGAAAATTTTGCAATGTTTCATGTCTTTTGCTCAACTTGATGAAAATAATTGATATGCGCTGAAAATTAGGGCAATATATGTGCTTACGTTGAATAGTACTTTAGATATAGTTTTGTGTTTTGCTACAATGAAGTGTGTACCTGGTTTTGGGCTTTCAGCTTAAACACCAAGCTTTGTGCCTTTATGCACTAGGCACATTATAATTATGTGAAGGAGCGCTGAATAGTTTTCTACCCCCATTGGCATGTCACAGATGCCAACCTGATTTGAGTATCTCCTTTGGCACGTGAAGTTCAATAAATTTGAAAGAGTGGAAGAGGAACCAAATTAATATATGTTTCATGCACTTTCCTTTTGAATTTATTTATTTATTTTTAATTTTTTTTCATCTTCTACTCTTTTTTAGTTGCAGTATGCATCTTTTGTTGTGTGTTTCGGAGAGCATTTTTTATTAATGTTTTTAAATTCTTCACTTACTATTGCAAATTTGTTGACTTCAGATATAGGGCAGTGACTAGTGCATATTACAGAGGTGCAATGGGGGCAATGCTGGTCTATGACATAACGAATCGTCAATCATTTGATCACATGGCTAGGTGGTTGGATGAACTGCGGGGCCATGCTGACAAGAACATCGTAATCATGCTTATAGGAAACAAATCTGATCTGGGAACCCTTCGAGCTGTACCAGTGGATGATGCTAAAGAGTTTGCCCAGAGGGAGAACCTATTCTTCATGGAAACATCAGCCCTTGAGGCAACCAACGTGGAACCTGCTTTCCTAAATATCATGTCTGAGATCTATCGTGTTATCAGCAAGAAAGCCCTTGTGGCCAATGAGGAACCAGAATCTGGAGGAAATTCATCTCTTCTGAAAGGAACCAAGATTGTTGTTCCTGGCCATGAGCCGGTACCATCAGAAAAAAAGTTCAGCTGTTGTAGATCTTCATAGGCCCGACCCAACCTTCACTCTTGGAGTGCACTGTTGTATTTGTTCTATTTGCTGACATATCTGACATACGAGGTACATTTCTCTTTCTTGTTACAAATAGATTGTCCATCCACAGCGTGGACTTCTGGACCGATTTAAACTTGAAGAGAAGTGATTTTTGCAAATTTTTTTTTGTTTTGGTGTGTAACTCATCCATGCCTCAATGGCATGGAAATAGAATCCAAAATATAGAACAGGGAAAAACTTGTCATTCTGATCTACGTTAGTTTATTGCCAATCATGATCCTGTATAAAAATTTCAACATCAACAGAATGTGATCCCGTAGTTAGCTCCCTTGCATGTAAAAGTACTAGTTGGATCGTCAAATGGATAGCTATACGCGGTAGGGCAAGCTTTTTAGAAGATTTGTGAATAATTAATAGGCTTGCATTTCGTTGGACTATTGAATGCTCCAGTGCAGCAGTACTGGGGTTGATGGAAGGCGAGACAGGCGCTTTTGCACGCCACCCTTGCCCCATTCCCTGCGGCCACCACCAATTCTGGAGGGCATGCTCTATTCAAATCGGCTGCACAGATTACTGATCCACAGTTTCGCGTCCCTCCAGAAGGGAAGATGGAAATTGGCAGGTTAAATCCATCCACAAGGCTGACGTCGTAAAAGTCTTGTGTGCCATTGGGGGTGAACTCAGCTAGTGATGCTGGTGGTATACTGCCTGCGCGGTTACACTGAAGAACACCGCCACAGTCACCGGTGGCGCATCTTCCCTTGCCAGATGGGTCGAAAGTGCATCCAATACGAGCCCAGAAGCGGCCTGACCACCCTGTGGGTGCATTGATGGTGGCGGCTTGAGCCGGCCCGAGCTGGAAGCCACCATTTACCAGTGGAGGTTTTCCAGCTCCTGATGAAGTCGCTGGCCATATGATGTATGGACATTTGTTTTGGAACGTGAAAATTGCAGCACTCGCTCCTGGAAAAGAAATAAAATCAGCAAACGGTTGGTGCCCAGGAAAAAAAAAAAAAAAAAAGAGTTAAAATGCAGAAGATTTCGATTCAGTTAAAAAATACAATCAACCTAAGAAATTCCAAACTAGAACGAAGGAGAGATGCCATAACAATGCCATGATTAAATCTCAACCAAAATGTGATGTAGTTCAATGAACAATTTCAAGTTATAGGGTGAAGATCACATATATTATGATTCGATAAATCTGATATTTTCTTTGATTTTCTAAATTCATGAAGATTATAGGCAATCTTAACGAGATTTCAATAATCTTGGCAATCTAATTATGAATCCCACGACTTATGGCAATCACAAACAAGAAAATATCACTTGTCAATGTTCGGTATGTAATTATAATTTGTTAATTATAAAAGCGTGTTTGAGAGTGATTTTGAGAATTGATTTTTTGACCGTTATGAGAAAAGTGGGATCCACCTGTGATAGAAGAAGTCAAATATGATGGCTGAAATAGTGAAATAACGGTAAAAAAATAATTTTTTGGGCCAAAAAATCACTCCCAAACAAGCTGTAAATATAGAAATGAATAGTAAATAAGTAGGTAAAATATGTGGGTTCGTAGTCGGTAACTATAATAATCGCCCTACGTGGCATTGTGCCAGTGATAGTTTCATTATTAATATTGAAATTCATTTGATTGTTTCCCTTTTTAATTATTAAAATTATGACACATGGGCCTTCACGTAAGATGATTATTGTAGTCTTTTATTATCAATAGTATTATTTGAAAATTAAACACCTAACTTTCAGCTAGGCCCCGTCCGGTCCGGTCCGGTTTGGTTCTAACAAGAATTAAGCCGAACCCGAAATTTTTGGATAATTAGTAAGTGGAATCGTCGGATTCAAATTTAATTATGGAACTGTTCAGGTTCAGTTCGATTTCATTCGATTCTCAGGTTTCGTATTCTAATTAAATTTTTTAATATGTACAAAGTGACATTAATGTAACTAATGATACAAAACAACGTGGTCAAATCTTATGTGTCTTTTGCGCATTTCTTTACTGAGTTCTTCATAAGTTTAATTATTAAGATCATAGGAAGAGGAAAATAGTGAGCTCAAAATAATTAAGAGAGGTATTGTCAAGTTTTAATTCGATTTCTCCAAAATGGTAAAAGCTGCACTGCGATAGAGTAACAGATTTGGATAAAACTTAAATCAATTTGATTAAGTTGGCATTAAACCGAAAATTAGCAATAAGAAAATCATATTTATGGGTTTGAACTAAATTAACTAGTTAACAAATTTGTTTAGAAAAAAATAAAATAATTTGGCTTACTTAAAATAAATTAATTAAAAAATTAGGGAGATTCAATTTTCATTCGATTTTTCGGTTCTTGATCTAGAATCGAGAATCGAACCTAACCCGTCAGTTCTCCATTCAGATACCCGTTCGGGTATTTAATTTAAGAAGAATAGCTCGATTCGGGAGTTTCGTCGAGACCTACTTTCAGTAGGAATTGTATTTCCTAATTTACTTATTAAGTTATCCTAGATTTATTTGGTATTCATTTGTTCTAATTAAACTGTCTGTTGTTAATTAGGATGGTTGACCAAGATTCTGTAATTTGTTAGGTTTCTTTGGTTTAGGTACTTACATGTTTTCCCTTAATTATTTTGTTAACCCCACACATATATATTCAAAGTTAACTGAAGATCCAAAATTAGAGACATAGATAACCCGAGTTGGTTCATTGACTCGATGAGCCAATAATTGATGCAGCAATTTATTCATTTTCCGACGACTAAGGAGATATAGTAGGCGGAGTCTAGAACCATTTATGAAGGATCCGACGAACGTATTTATTTTTTAAATTGAAGATGAGGTCTTTCTCTACCTAGCAGAATGGCCACTCTTGCCAACGTACTATAATGAACTTGTTTCTGAGTTTCAGGATATTGGTCACATGTCTATGTCTCAGGCAGGAATGTCGAAGGAGTGGTTCAATTGCACTCGGCCATGGCAAGACTTCGAGTTCATTTTTTCCTAAGCAGACTGTCCGGAGAGAGTATCTGCAAAAGTAGGCAATGGGAGGATTCATCCAACCTCACAAAGCTCAATGATGATAGTCATTCAAACTCGATAAGTATCATCCAAGGAGAGTATAGATCCGATTATATAAAATTATTTCCCTTTGGTTCTAGAGTTGCCGGCGTCTATACTATAATTTCTCACATTTTTTTTTTTTTTTTTTCATTCATACGACTCCTCGTGTCTCCGCATTGGATCAAGGATAGGGCCAGAAGGGTAAAAAACTGCTAACCCATAGGATCAACCCAGAATGTTTTTCCTCGGAAACCTCGAATCGCATTCTTGATGAATTTAATGAATTTTCTATTCTTGTAGAAGATGTAAACAATAAATATCCAGAAAGGTCAAATAGGGGAGTCTCGTAGAATCAATTTGAATCTGATTCTAAAGCCAAGAATAAATACCCAGTTAATAATTATGTTTCCCATAGGTAGGGGTGCCAATCGAGCCGAGTGGCTCATCCGCTCGTAAAAAGACGGCTCTTGGGCGGCTCGGGCTTGTATTTGGACGATCCCGAGCCTGTGGTCGAGCTAGCGGGCCTGCTCTCTGGGCTCGGCTCGCCCACGAGCGAACGGATGGGAACGAAAGAGTCAAATTTTTTTTTTTAAAAAAATCTTGAGCTTGTGGGCTCGGCTTGTCTGATTGGCCCTTGAGCAAGAGCCAGAGCCGAGCTTGAGCTCGACAAGCTCATGGGTAGACATGGCTCGGTCATTGCCACCCCTAACCATAGGTTGTCAGAATCATATGCATTTTTTGTCCATGTTTAACGACATAAATAAGTGCACAAAATACACGTATCAATTGTTTTACGATTTCACACTAGTCAAAAATATATTGTAGTTATTGAGTTTGAGTAGGTAAAACCACTGATACGAGAGTGTCATCAAATACCAGTTTTGAAAAGGAGAAGTCCAATTTTCTCTCGTCAATGTTCTAACAATTTACAAGGTGCAGAATTTTAGTCACTTTAAGTGAATACTAGGAATAATGCATAAATAATAGATCATCCAAAAGGTTATCAAGTTAAGATTCCAACATATTTTATGAATCTCAATTTGAACTTTCCTATACCAGGTTATTTATATTTTTCTCTAAACTGGTCATGCTGAAAAGTCTATTCGAAAATGTTTATAATCACCTCTTTTATGGTTCAATAGAATTCTTAGGAAGCTTTGATTTCTTTGGAAGTTGCATTCACGAATTTTTATCTTAATATTCGTTTTCTTTCGATAAAACTTTTTCTTGAAAATGATAGAAAAAATGCCTACGCTTGGAGCTGGAGGGTTGATCCAAGTCTCAACTATTTAAGTTAGTTTTGTAAGTCTTGAAGACAATGAATTGAGATTTGAAGTGTGAGTATTGAGCCTTTGGCTTGTTGAGAAGAAGGATTTCTTCTTGTTCATCACTCTCATCTCTTAAGTGAATTAATTCACGTAGCGAGTTTGATCTTTGGATGTGTATCCTTGTGTTAGAATCCACTTTTTTCGATGTCATCATTGGAAAGATTTACAAGTTTCATACAAAAATAAAAATTGAGTTCATCATTTTGTGTTTATTTATAATCTTCTACATTTAAGGCGTGAGTTTATCCATAAAGATGCGCAGACTTTTATATGGAAAGCATAGGCACGGAAATGTTAACAAATTTAGCGTTGGTTTAAGAGCAATGTTATGTAGCCCACTGGGATTACAACCCCAATTTGGGTAGCACTAGATAATAGATTAAATGAAATATGAAATTAAATTAGTTATTTAATTCTACTTATAAATTAATGTCACATTAGCGTCACTTACACTGTGGTTGCAATCCAAACATGGCTAAATAGCATTTCTCCTTGTTTAAGTCTCATTATTTTTCAAATTCATTTTGAATTATACATTCTTTCAATAAAATAATTTTGCACTACGTTTTAACTTAACCACACATTTTTTTTTTAAAAGTACATTAAACAAAATCTATTCTAAAAGAGGGTAATTATCAAAAAACATCTGTGTCGTCCGTACTCATTCTGAAAATGGTCCCTGTCATTTCAAATATATTCACATAGAACCATATGTTAATACCAAGTTAATTAGCAAGCAGCCAACATATATACAAATGCATAAATGACCCTATGAAAAAATTTCACCACACTTATCCTACCTCATTTTGCTTACATATCGAGAACACGTATCTTCTCTCTTCGCCCACAATGTTC